AATATATGCTGCTTATGCCTTCTGCCAATACCTGTGCTTGATCTCTGCATTGAATCTGGGGGGTTGTGTCTACAAGGGGAAAAATTGGTAATGGGAGAAAGGAAGGTTAATTTCCACCAGATTCATAGAAATCATTTATATTGTCAGCAAAAGAGAGAGCTCTCCTTCTACCCATAATAAAATTCTGATGTCAAATGTATTGATTTGTCTTCAATTTTATCATTATATGTCTCACAAAATAATTAGGGAAAAGCTAAATATATTTTGACTTTTTTTGTTTTAGTTTTTTATCTAGTAAAGATAAATAAGTTATTTTCTACAGGTGTCCTTTCCTATAAAACATGACCAGGAGAAGGAATCTACTGTGATGATACAATTTATTGCATATTAGGAGTGTAAATACTCAGTACTAGTAAGTTCTCTGAGTAAAAGTATGTAGTGCCTTTGGATAGAGTAATGCTTTATTTTATCTTACTTATGGCTCCTATCAAAGTTAGAGTTTTAGTACTGCATCATCTTTTTACATCACCTGATGGGTTTACTCTGAAAGAAAGGCCCATGACTCCCTGGCTATTGGGTTGTCCAGAAGGCTAGAGGTACATTTTTCCTGCAGGTGTCCTGTTTATGTAGATCTGTATTACCCTGAAGTACTTGACAAATGCATTAAAGACCATATTTAAAATCAGAGTAAATACAACCTATTTATGGGACAGGATGTATGAACTGTGACTGAGCTACCTGTTCAGAGTCCAGAGGATTTCTCCTTTTCTGTATGCAGAGGTACTCTTTAAAATCTGAATATTTTAATTAGTATTAATATAAACTTTTTCAAATGGTTGGTGCCTTCTGCATTTACATCACTTTAGTATCTGAGCACGTCTATCTCTTAAATATTTTAAGTATCTAGGAGCCCAGAGGGTAGGTCGATGCTCCCATCTGTCTTGCAGGATGTAATGTGACATTCTCAAGGTGGTGCAAATATCACAGCAGAGTGTACCCAGAAATGGAGCTCACTGCCATGCATTTCAGTCACTTTTCCCTAGAAAAAGTCTCTCAGTTCTTAATTTGTCTGCTACAACTCAATTTAAGGCATTAAGATTGTGATTTTTCAGGGTCAAACCTGGAGTGGGTCATATATATAGAAAGTGTAAAAATAGAGAATTGCTCTTCTAAACTAAACAATCCATTTTCACAGAACTCCTAACTGTAAGCAGCTGTTACAAACCACTGTCTGTGCCCCTCCACCACAGGGTACTGCACATCACCAAGTAACTCTGCACAGGACCTGGTGACTTGTGCTTCACAAAAAGCATTTCTGCATGAGAGGATCCAGCCTTGATCTGAAGTGTAATCAAGAGATTGATAATCTGCTTCTGTCTGCAGTTTGTCTGTTTGCATCTCACATTAATTCACCAAATGCCTGTCTCTGCTGCCTGAGTTCTCACCACCACTCCCAGTACAGGTTGTCGTGTGCAGGCACACCACCCCTCAGATAGACTTCAGTACTGCTGAAATCTGAGCTGTTGCCTCCAGTGTTTTGAACAGTCCTTTGACACTTTCTTTTGCACCTCCAGGTTTCCACAATGTAATTAACATTAGAAATCTGGAGACCAGAACTGAGTTTGTGATTCCACTTTTGCTCACACTGCTTTTTCTGAAAGGATGAGATATATTGGAGGAGTGTACTATGCCTCCTTGCCATACTTGCTAATTCAGGCTTGCTGGTGGAGCCCCCTTCCAGGTCCAGGCTCGTGGGACTTGGAATGCAGGCTTTAGTTTCAGAGATATGACCATTATTTGTAATCCAGTCACTTTCAGTTTTACATTTGACATTTTTATATTTTGCGGTTTTTTCTCCTTTGCTCCGTTTTGGTTTGTTGTTCTTTTCAAACAGCCTCAAGCAGCAGTGATTTAGATCTCTGTCCCTATATTCATGCTGTCCTCATTCATATCTCCACTAGTCTAAGTTACCAGCTTCAAATTCTGAAGTGTTTATCTCCAACATTGATGATTTACAGTCTGAAACATCTAAAAAATATTATTTGATGACATTTTCCTATTTACAGGTATTTTGAAGACCTGACAGCCTAAACATTAGTCCTATACTTTACTGCACATCATAGCTAAGTATGTAATTTAGGACACTGAAGACAAAACGTGTGGAGTTGGGTGAGATGAAAAGGAAATAATTCTTATGTTCAGGCTATTTACATGCGTGATCTGTTCCATTCTGTTTCTAAGTATGTACTAAACGTGACATTCTTTGTGTCTGAAATAGTAGCAGAATAACCTAGTGGTTGCTAAGGTAATGAGAACCCACCGTTCCCTTTCCAATTCCTGTAAATAAAGTATGGAATTTAATTTCACTCTATGTTACCTGAGGCAGATCAGGCGTCTGATAAAACAAATGATCTTCACATTCTTCTCCACTTCCTTTCTGATTTTCATTGAAATACTGAGATGTTTCTCTTTTTGTTATAAATGAGGCTGCCCTGCAGATGGTGGGGTAGAAAGTAGCCTAAGAATTACATCTTTTGTCTTGCAGTTGTTTTCCCTCTGTGACTTAAAATGTATTTGTCTTCCTGCTGAAACACTTTTATTGCATGTGATCAGGGCTGAAGATTTGACAGCCGTAAGAGTTCCTCTTTCTGTTTTTCTCTTGATGCAGAACTTAAATGTTTATTATCTGTGCTTGTGCTATGGATTGCAAGCACAGCATGAGTGTGAACCCAAGATTTATTTCTTAATCAAAGAAAGGAAGGTTCTCTCGAAAAACAATATGGTAAATCCAGGAATTTGCTGGACACCAGTAGTTGAGTGGATGAGATACTCACCTGGTGAAATGATTCTTGGCAAGGACTATCACTGGCCCTAGGAATGCAGGCAGCAAATAAGAAATCCAAAGGAGCTTTGACCGCTGTGCAACCAGGCAACACTACACCCCAGACCATCTTGACTTTGTAGTGGAAAAAGAGAATCCGTGTCAAGCTACTCAGCAGCCAATCAATCATCCGAGTGCACCAGGCTGGGCACGGAAGATTGTATCTCTACGTACATGAGGAGGAAGAAGAAACAGCTGGGGCACGGGATGAAGTTCTGCTTGGAGTAAGGGAATCTGTTGTAAAAGAGAGGCAGCTTGTTATGCTGCATTATGGAATGGCAGAACAATATTCCTGCTTTTTTATGCGACAAATTTTTGTCTTGCTTGTGTTACATTGATATCAAGTCATGGGTCACTTGCCACAGGTTGCCACAAGTGGGTTATCTTAGCCTAATAGCTGTCTGGATATCAAGACTTTATATTCTAATAGCATGTCTGCCCAGAGAAGTAGATCTGGAAGGTGAAGTGGACCGCTGGCATAATATATGGACACTTGAACCCGGAAATGAAAGACAGCTGCTGGATCTAATTTTAAACATAGCTCTTGAGCAGATCCCTCTGTATCCTGCTTGTCCTGCTACAGCAAAGTCATTAGTGGGAGTAGAGAGACAAGAAGTTGAAGATACTGGTAAAGAGTTTTGTGAGGAAGGGAATCACTCTTGTTCAAGTTATGGTATTTCCATTTTTCACAGTAAGTACTGTCAGCTTCCAGAGAAGAGGAGTGGAAATGGTTTGTGGCTAGTGCATGGTCTAACACTGCTGACACGGGCAGCTCTTCTGGGGCCTCGTAATGGTCAGTGGGGCTCCCTGTTCTGCACGTACGAGGGAAGGCAGCGCTGTTTCAAACGAGGAAAATGTAATAGAGTGGGAGTTTTCCTAACATTTTAAAATAACGTGGTTACATATCAGCCAGGTAGTAATTCCGAGTTTTTACATCAGGGCTCGGGAATGCGGCGGCGTTAGCGGCGGTCTGGAGCTCCATCTAGCGGGGCGCCGCAAATCCCGCTGGCTGGGTTTGGATTTTTTTAGCCAGTACAGAAATAACCACGAGTAATACCGTACTGATAGAATTCTTCACTTGGGATTAGCGAGTTAGGTACATTATTAATTCAGCAGCTGGTTAAGTATTTTCAAGCTCCAGTTTTGCTTTCAGGATGCCATTACCAAGCTGGGTTGATTTTTGGGGGTTTTTTCAAGTGTGACCGTATTGTTCTGCTTTATTACAATTATGATGCTAAAATTAAAGGCTGTGGAAACATTTCTGGAACTCGTTCTCTTTAGAGAGTTAGCTAACCTCTGGGAATTTTGGAAGTAAGCAGAACATTACTCCTCTGATGTGAAGATTCCCCTCTATTATAGACAGCTCTGTTAATCACAATAAGTTAAGGAATAATAGTTTTGCTGTTTATTATCTGCTTTTAAAAAGTGAAACATCCAATTTTTTAAAGATATGGTTTTTAAATATATATAACAAGAAACTTGAAGAAGTAACAATAAATAATAAATTTTGTTTATTACAAAACTTTAAAATGCAACTTGATTTTACATTTACCAAGCTTGATTAGGATAGAAACGTTACTAAAATATAATTGTATATTCTAAAGGCAGTCTATGTAAACTGGTGTTAATCTCCAGTAGAGAGAGAGTATAAATAAGTTAATGATCATAGTCAAATATAAGTGTAGCATGCATTTATCGCTTTTCCTAAGAAAAGTGGATAAAACAAATATTTATTTTAATTTGATATATAAAAATTTTGATGTAAAGCATTGTAAATAGCATGATAAGAGCTGACAGAGGCAGTTGGATCTGGAGATGTGGGACAGAGGCCATAAAAGGCCAAATGAGGTCACATTTCATTTAAGCATGCCTCCTAATTTGCTTTCAACAGTATTAGCCCAACTAGTATTAGATTTGTGTTATATTTAAACTTTCAGCTTTCCTGCCTCCTGCAGAACCAAATGCTGTTCCTGTTGATTCAACTCAAAGGACTGGGAGTGACAGCTGCTAAGGAGGGCTTACTTCAAATCCTCTATCCCATGTTTGCCTCTGTATCCTTTCTAAATATGCATTTTTGTCTGTACCTCCCATCTAAAGCTTTGTCATCCATTGTCAACAGGCAAGCTCAGAGATACCAAAGTTGCGAAAGGAAGACCAAAAAGCACGGAACGCGCTCTTGGCTGATATCCAGCAGGGAACTCGCCTAAGGAAAGTGACCCAAATCAACGACCGCAGTGCACCACAGATTGAAAGTGAGCATTTGCTCCTCAGTAAGGCCCTGGGGGAGCTTTGCTGAACTGAAGCCTGAGGTGTAGGTGGAGGTCAGATGGACAGTTTCAAACTGAAGGGCAGTTCTGAAGGTCAGCAAAGGTCTGCATCATCATATGGCTTTAGGATGCAGAGAGGAGACACTTTCTAAACATGCGTCCTGCTCTGAGATCAGGGACTGTAAACACTTGGTACGTCTCCGAATGGTTATCACCTTAACAGGCATCCTTTGTTCCAAAATAAACAATGAATGATGAAATCCTTGAGAGCATTTCAATAAAATAATTAAGTGGGAAATGTTGGCTCTAGCAGAAGAATTGTTCATTAGATTAAAATAACAAAAAATGCTGAAAAATTCTGGAAACATAAATTTAATATTAGGCCTAACAGAACTACTTCTTGGTGTCACGATTTGTGTGAGATTGAAGAGCACCAGAGGGTGCTGTGCTCCAAGGTACAGGTCAGAGAGGTATAGTAGTTCCTGTAGTAACAGTATAGGGAAAAGTTTGGCCTTGGCTGTTTGTGGGCACCAAGCCTTAGCAGTCTCAGGGCAAGGATGAAATGATTTTCTGACATACCCGGGGTTTTTCATTCTTTTGAACAGAACCCAAAGGAGCTAACAGAGATGGAGGTAACCCAGCTGTTAATAAAGGTGGTTCTCAGCAGCCTCTGGGAGGTTTATTTGCTGGTGGCTTTCCTGTTCTCAGACCAGCAGGCCAGAGAGACATGACAGGTAAGGGCTTCATTTGTATGAAAGCATAGCTGGGTGGGCAGAAATTTGGGATTAGCTTTACTGATTGATTTTTATTGTGTTTTTTTTTTTTTTTTCTGAATGCTTAGTTCATCATGTGACCATGGAGAGCTCAATTAATAATGTGATTGAAGCCACCTTTCTAGATCTCAGGTGCCTTATTCCTTAAAACATAAATAAAAAGCTATCTCTACACTTGTTAAGAAAGAGATTAAATAGATCTCTTTAACTGAGCTTTTTGCATTGTTTTAATGAAAACTTTTAACTGTGCTTTGAATACAGTATTGAAATCTGAGCTTATCAGTTTCAGCACAGATGGCAAAGTCATATTTCCTTCCCTCCACTTGTGTATATTTCTATGATATAACAGTCTTGTGTATTACTTTAAAGATTCATATTTAAGATTTTTGCCCTCTGGATTTTACAGAGTATAGCTTTGATCCAGCAAGGTAATTTACTGATCTGAAAAAGAAGAGTATTTCACAATGACAGGAGGCAGGCACATGTGGGAGCCCAGTGCTGCTTTCACCTCAAGAAAGTGCCATCATCAACGAGAGATGACTTTTATAGTCACAGTAATGACCTCTGGCACTGTTGGGCAGCTGGTGCCTTCTCAGGCAGCACAGAGCAAAGTAGGTTTTTGCAGGGAAAGAAAGAACTTGGCTCTATCTGAAGGTTTTTTGCTCCCAAAAGGCATGCAAAGATGTGTGATGGGGCTTTTGACATAACTTCAGTGGCAGTAACTACTTTGAGTTGTTCTTAAAACTATGGCCTTGCCTATCAGACTATGTGAGTGTCGAATGAGATGCTTTTTTTGACATCTTGCTTTGTGATAAATCCTTGACATTTACTCAGGAAATGACATTTTTTTAAGTTCAAGAGTCTTCAGGCATTTACTGTTAAAAAGGAAATACCAGAACCTGTGCCTTCCAGAAAGCCTTTGAGGTATTGCTTTTAAAAGCTTGGCTTTTATCCATGGAGTTGAGGTTTCTGTAATGTTTGTGTGAATTTTTTGATCCTTCAAGTGCTTAACTTGAAGGACGCCAGCTGATGTGTGTCAAACTGCCGGGACTCTTGATGCCCAGCGGGGTGTACCAGGCAGGATGAGTGAGGCTGGTGTGAAGGGCCCCAGACTCTGCAGAAAATTCCTTCTCCTTAAACTGTTTCGTTCTGCAGAAGCTGAGGAACAGGGAGGGGAACAGGGCCTCTCAGCAGGTCTTCATATAACTAAGCAGAATCCCTGGTGCCCATTGGAATACATCACCTCCTAAGTCCCATTACAGCGTGGGCAACCTGTTGTACATGAGGTGTTCAAGGTGAATGAGTTTGATCCCTCCGGGTATCCACTGGGGAGGGGAAGATGAAGAGCTAGCCCATGTCGCTGTTCCGTCTGAGGAGTGGGAATGCAATGCCGGTGTGTAACATGTGGTATCTGGTTTCCAGCAGGGAGGCCTGGGCAGCTCTCCGGAGCCCGAGCAGCATCCCCCAGACCATCCGCACCGCCGAGCAGCGGCCCCTCGCAGCCGGCCGAGGGCCCCAGGGCCGCTGTCCCACCGGAGCCTCCCGGCCCCTCCCGAGCCGCAGCGGGGGCGGGCCCCGGGCGGCCCAGCCTTCCCGCCCCCCCTCCACCGCCTCCCGCTTCCAGCAAGCCTTCCCTCACCTTCCCTCCTCCTCCCCCGCTGCCCCCTCCGGCCGATCGCCCCGCCAAGGGGGTGAGCCCCGGCGCCGCTCCCCCGCTCCCTCCCCCTCAGGCTGACAAACCCGCCAAGCTCCAAGCAGGCCCTTCGCACCCGCTCCCTCCTCCTCCCCCTCCTCCGCCGCTGCCCCCCGTGCCCCCTTGCGGGCTGCCGGGCAGGGCTGAGCCCTCTGCGGCCGCCGCCGCTCCGGCCGAAGGCAGGGACTGCGCCCTTCCCACGCCTCCGCCGCCGCCTCCTCCTCCTCCTCCGCCGCCACACGCGGCCGCCAACAGGCTCTCCTTTCCCCCCTCCCCGGCCCTCAGCGGTGCCGACCTGCCCCCGCCGCTGCCTCCCAAGTCTCCCCATTTGCTGCCGCAGTTGCACAAGCCAAGCAACATCCAGTCGCTGCCGCTGCCACCCACCCCCGGGCCCCCCCAGCCCGCAGCCGTGGTGGACACCAGAAAGAAGCGACCCGGCCGAGGCGCAGGTGAGAGCGGCACCTCTGAAGGAAGGAGGCTTTTCCCTTCCTTTGGCTAGCGGGGAAAAACCTTAGAATGATTTGGAACCTTGAAGATGACCCCCTTCCAACCCAAACCATTCTATTGCACTGGTGACTGGAGAGCATGCAGGGGCTGGGATGAAGAGCACACATGGGAGGGATACCTGTAGGCTGCACGGCTTGTGATGAACACCCAAAACGTCTGGCTTTCTGAGATGTCAGGCAGATCTTGGCGCTGGGCACATAGGCTTTATAGTTTCAGCTGCCACTCTTGGAAAGCACATGCTGATCAGTGGAGGAAAGCCTTGGGACCACCGAGCTGCTTCTTGCCTTTTTGTTGGCATTGGTGTGTGTCCAGCAGTGTGGTACCCTGACAGGCTCAGGTGGGGGAGCAGAGTACAGACCACTGTGTCTGCCAGGTCAGCAGCTGCTCATGTGCCAGCCTGCCCAGGACATCCCTCTACAGCTGTATCCATGCAGGAGCAATATTGGCAACAGCTGGGAAACACTACAGGAGATAATGAAACAGAGATGGGGCAGCTACCAGCCATAGGTGAGCAAAAACAAATCTGGCTGCAGCCCTCTGCTGTTCAATAAAGAGAAGCAGTCAGTGCCTCCTGTGATCAAGATGGTTGGGCCAGAGGTTTCTCCAGCTACTTAGGAAGTGGGGTATTATCCAGTATTTCCTTGAGTAGATGATAGAAGGAAATTTTATTAGATTCCTCTAATGTAATGGAAATAATGAAAAAGATGAGTCTAGATCTGAGTGGGTTTGAGAAATGGAGACAGCTACTTAACAGGGAACATCTGAAAGAGAATGTTCTGTACCCTGTATTTTAGCAGCGACATGTCAGGAAAAAGATCACTGGCTCCCTTTGAGAGCCAGGGGATAGGCCATGTAAGCACAGCAGATCAGGTGCCTTGTGGTGGTGATTAATGCTGCTCAGAACTCTCTGATGAACTGTTACTATGTCAAGATGTCCATTTCTCATGGCAGTTCAATTTGTATGTTTTCCCTAAAATTCCCCTGCGTGTCCCTTATTATGTAGGAGGATAAGCAGTTTTGAGAGGCTGCTAACTTGGAGGCCTTGGGCTTCCTCCCCTTCACACGGTTGCTGTGGTGGGTCTTCCAGATGTAAACTTTGATGGCAACTCCTCAGTGAAATGCCCAAGACTAATGACAATTCCATTGCATAGCTGCCAAAGTGTCGGGAAATTTTCTTTTAGACGTACCACCTAGTGTGGTTGTCTTGTTGATTTCCTTTGCTTAAAGAGACTGCTTGTTCTTGTGAAAGTGGAAGGATAATCTTCCATTCCAGACTGGGACAAAACCACACTTCAGAATGTTACACTTTTCCTAGAACTGGAAATGGAAAGCCCCAGCCAATTCCAATAGTGATCTGAATTTAATACTTGATGCTACAAATATGTGGTCAAGCTTGGCAAACAACAGCTATGGGTATGTTTGCCCCAAATACTGCATTCTTTCTACACCCCTTCCACTTTTGTTTGTAGTTTACTGTTGGGTTTAAGTCATGATGATGTTTATATGCTGGTCTCTTGTTTTTTATTAAAGGAACCGGTGCTGGGAAGCTGGTCACACCTCCACAGCCACCAGCAAGATCCCCAACAACTGAACTTACAAGCAAGTCTGGAGTCTCAGCCTGGGCTACAGCTCATGACCCCTACACACCACTTAAAAATGGAAATATGCACATCATTGGTAATATCATTAAATTAAATCTCTTGGCCTTAGTTAATAATGTTAGCACAAAAGCCTGTGTGCATCCCAGACCTCAAAAGCTCACTTGGGACTTGGTCCTAGCAATAACAGGGTAGTCTAATAGAAACATTTTTGTACAACCTTATGCAATGATATAAAATTAAGGCTTTTTCACAAAGGATTTGAATTCAGTCAGTAGAAAAGAAAAGCATACACTACCTGCAAAGTTACTTAAAAATATGAAAAGTTCCCATAGCGTGCTTATATTACCATTCTTAAAATTAGATCATGGACATTTAGAGGCTTCACTCCTATAGGGCAAAGACCACTAAGAATTATTTTTGTGGTCTGGTGAATTGGCTGTTTATTATTGTTTACAACTACATGTCTTGAAAACTACCAAGGAATATCTCTATTACCACAATACCACCAACGCACAAAACTGAAATGGCAGACAGAAGCTTAATTTCAGTTTTAATAGCAGGCAGAGATTGCAATTAAGGCAAAAAACTTGGATGGCTCACAAAAGTACTCATCAAGATGGTTCATATGGAATGAGCCACTATAAATTCCAGGGGGAAAAATCCTAACATTTTTAATTGAAATTACTTGTGACAACGTTGGTTTTTTGGGGTTTGGTTTTTTGGGGGTTTTTTTGTTTTTTTAAGTTTCTTTCTCTCTAGCAGCAACTAATGTTTATTTCCCTGAAACTTCCCAGATGACTTCGAATCGAAATTTACTTTCCATTCTGTGGAAGATTTCCCCCCACCTGATGAATTCAAACCATTTCAGAAAACATATCCCAGCAAGATACCCAGAGGTAAGTGTGTAAACATGAAAAGATCTGATCATTATCAAGAGGTTTAAAAATGGGGACGAAAAATAAAGAACTGAACCAGCATTAGCAAAACTGGACTGCTACCATAGGCACAGAGAGGAGTGGGATTTTTCACAGGGGCAACAGGGACCAAAGATATAATGAAAAGCACTTTGTTACTTTAGAGTCTTAGCTAATAACAAATTATGTGGCTGGACACGCAGCTTGTGTTTTTAGATTGCTAAATTTGCAAAGCCTGGGATGTTAAAAACAGTCATGTTGTAAAACAGACTTGGGCAGCAACTGATTTTGATTTTTTTGTTCACTAACTTGTGAAATCACAGAGAAGGATGATTTGATCCATGTCTTCCATTATGTATTTTGATTTAAATCCTGTGCATGGTGTTTTACAACCTGAATTAACAAAGAGACTTAGTACCTGAACCTTGTCAGGAAAGTGATAAAAGGTTGAACCATCCTTTATTTTTTTTCTCCCTTCTTAACTTAGAATCAGGTCACTATTGTAGACTATTGAAAATGGGTAGTTTAAAGTACCAAAAGATCTCATGCCCATATTCTGCTTTTTATAAAACCCAGTTTTTTGTAGCTCTCCAACTTTTAATTGACTTTTTGTTTTGTTTCCATGCTAAGATGATTTGCATGACTTTTCATAGCAGCCTCAGGCTAAATTTTCTCCCGTATATTCTGACTTTTTACTGAAGGGCTGCAGGGCACAAGCAATATGTGTGTGTATGTATGTAAACATAGGTATATATATGCACATGTATGTGCATATCAGGGGTAGCAGATAACTGCAGCATCCCTGCTATATAAACTGCATCCAAAATACCTTTTTAAAATCTGTCCTATCTATTTACAGATCCTTCTAAAAATCCTCCATTAAGAACACATGTGAGATGAGAAGAGTCTTCTGATGCTCTCTGGACTACTATTAAAAAAGAAGATCAAGATAATATATAAAACAGAAGGGGTTCCTGTTGCAGTGATTGATTGTACTTGAGTCACAAGTACTGCAATATTAACATTTCTATAAACTGTAAAACTATATAAATTATACCTTTTGAACTGGCCTACATACTACAGGAATGTTAGTACAGGCTTTTAAATTACTGTATATAGGTGAATATTTTTTAAGCAAAGCAGCATAAAATTTAAATTCTTTGTAGTGTTGAAACAATTCTCATTCTTATCATGCTGACAATGTTACCTCAGAATGTTTTGTGCTATGTGCCTGTAGTTCTTTTTTTCTCCTTCCATAATAATTTTTGGAAGTTCTCCAGTTATTATTGAGACATTTTTCCAATGAACTGTCAAAGTAATATACTATCTTTAGTCTGTTTTTATGTTTCTTGACTTCTTCCATTCTGCCTGGCCACAGATTGCAGCAGGATGTCACTTTCATGAAGAGATGGGCCCACAATCCTTTTCTTGTGAAGCACGAAGAGGAGATGCCAAGGAGTTGTGGCTGCTAATGAGCCTACCTCCTAATGATTGCATATCCTTATAGGATAGTGTCTGAAGAAGCCCAGCTGGGTAGGGTGGTCATGGACTTGACAAAGATGACAGAACCTTTCCAAAGTGGAGAAAAAGAAAGTTGCTGTATTGTGAGCAAGAAAAGGAAATGGTGTGTGTGAATACACGTGCTGTGATTGTGTGTAAGGACACGTGTCCTGTCTCTTCCTGCTGGCAAAGTGGATATTCACCATTTCTGTGATAGATTGCCTTTACCCAGCAATTACAAGGCCTTTGGATGAGCGGTCTACATTTTAAACAGGCAATTAGAGCTACTGCTATTTGCCAGTAGTGAAGGGTCATTGTCCAAAACACACCACATGGAACACTCAGCCTCCAAAGTGGTTGTTGTCTCAAATAGAGTTGGTTGGGAAAAGTAACAACTTAGGAGTGGATAAGACTTGAACTACTGCTTTTAATATTCAGAACTTGGGTAAGATCTTTGCATCACAGATGTTCAGATCTGGTCCTAAGATACCTTTTTCTAGCAAGAATTACCCTTATTCTTGTGCATTGGGAGGAGTGGGGCCAGATCAGGGAAGTAATTCGTTCCATCTGTTCAGCACTAGTGAGGTCACACCTGATGTGTGGCCACATGTGCTGTGTCCAAATTCTGGATTCCCCAGTGCAAGGAAGACATGGCCGTGGTGAGGAGAGTCCTAGAAAAGGCCACAAATGTGACAAAGGGACTGGAGCATCTCTCCTATGAGGAAAGGCTGAGACAGCTGAGACTGATCAGCCTAGAAAAGAGGAGGCTCAGAGGGGATCTCTCCAATGTATATAAATATTTGAAGGAAGGGTTTAAAGATGGAGCCAGACTCTTTTCAATGGTGTCCAGTGACAAGACCAGAGGAAATGGGCAACTGTAACACAGGAGGCACTGCCAGAACATCAGGAAATGCTTTTTGACTATGGAGGTGAGTGAGCCTTGGAACAAGTTGCCCAGGGACCCCGTAGAGTCTCACTCCTTAAAGACACTCAAAAGACGCCTGGACTTTGTCCTTGGCAACTGGCACTAGGTAACCCTGCTTGGCCAGGGTTGTTGGACCAGATGACCTGTAGCCATCCCTTTCAATCCCAACCACCCTTTGATTCCCCTTTTTACAGCTTTTCTGCATTCCCAGACCTGGGTTACAACAACCCAAAGCACTGCTGGGGGCAGTGACTGGAAATCAGTGCCACTAGGACCTGAGTGTGCTGGCTGACAGTGCCTGAACAGGGGCCAGTGTGTGCTCAGGTGGTCAAGAAGGCCAAGAACATCTAGGCTTGAGGAGGTTCAGAGGGGACCCTATTGCTCTCTATAACCCCAAAGGATACTGTTCTCATGTGGGGGTCAGTCACTTCTCTCAAGTAACAAGGCAGGGGACAAGAGGAAATGCCCTCAAGCTGTGCCAGGGGAGGTTAAGATTCGATATTAGGAAAAACATCTTCACCAAAAGAGTGGTCAGGCATTGGAACAGGCTCCTCAGGGGAGTGGTGAAGTCACCATTTAATACCTACAGGTATTTAAAAGACTTGTAGATGTGGCACTCAGGGACATGGTTTAGTGGTGGACGTGGCAGTGCTGGGTTAACAGTTGCATTAGATGATCTCAAGAGTTGTTCTCCAATATAAATGATTTCATGATTCACCAGCCTGAAAAAGAATACTGCTGTTCCAGGGCGAGTCTGGTGCTAACAGCCAGCCTATTGCAGTTATGGCATTAATTGATATAATTGCCATCAATTCCCCTCAGTTAGAGGTAATAATGTTACAGATCACTGATGATCTTTCCCCATGGTGTTACCTTTGAACAGAACTATTTGGAAAGGACAGGTAACCTCAACTTTACATCCCTGCTTTTCTCTTTGTTCTTAGAGCAGCTCAGTTATGCTGTTACTATTCCCACACACATGCACATTCATGGTGTGAGATGGTGTAGGGGTAAGAAGCTCTTCACTCACAGGTCTCCAAGAAAGCAACATTAGTATTTTTCTAGCCTATTATGATAACTTGCTGTACATCGTGTGAAAAGAAAAGAAAAAAAAAAAAAAGTGGTGATGCTTTGACCAATACTTGTCAGTAGTTACTTGATAAATATGCATGAATATAGTAACAAGCAAGAAACTATATTGCCTCTCAAACAACTGGAAAAGTTGAATACTGTTTTAAAAACTATTTTGTTATAGTGCTATTAAAAGTGGCATATTGTTGGTTTTCATTTATTCTAAAATTTGTGTACTGCTCTGTAGTAAGTACCATCCTAAGGATTTTGAAACTACCTAATGCTGGACTACCTGCCAGCAGATACATAAAGAAGAAAATTTTAGTCTATTTTTTATTATGGTTTGGGTATTTTAGAAATAAACAACATCTTTCAGGGATGAAATTAGAAATCCTGTGTCTATTTGCTAGCATTTCTGAAATGTTTCCATATATTTGTCATTCAAGAGCCATTGAAGCTTCTGGACATACAGAGAATCACAGTGGCTGTCATCCTGAGGCACTTGATTCCACAAGTCCCACTGTGTCCTTTCACTGAGACACATCTCTGTTCAAGACACTGTAAATATTAAGACCATGCAGTTGCTCTGGTTTCCACGGACTGCACCCAACCATGTTTCTGTACCACAGTTGTTTTTTGTTTTTAAATGCACTATACAACTAAAGCACCATCAACATACTATTAGAAAATTACTACCTGGATCACTGTGCTCAAAACAATTTATTCATTCTGTCATATAAGCAGTTCCACATAAAGACATAAACGCCCATGAGATAATTGCAAGTGTTGCTTTCTTCTTTCTTAAGAAACAGGCAAATAAGATATATGATGTTTTTAACAGGAACACCCACTTCTTTCATCTTGCCTCCCTCCCAACTCTCAAAGATTAGAGATCCAAGTTGTGCAAAATAGCTGTGAGAAGTGGTATATCCCAATTTTTGTGCTCTGGCTGGGGCAATCATTTTTTCATCTCTGTCCCCTGGTTGTTCAGAAATATCTGTCTACTCCTATCAGGAGATGTGATTTCATGAGAAATCAATTTACTTCAGTTATGGGCAGCTGAAAAAAAGCACACTTCTCTTTCAGTGGGCTTTGTCCCCCACACCATTCTCTGAAATCAAATGTGCTTCTTGGAGTCAGCCCCTCCTCTGGTACACAGGATACAGAGCAGCTAAATTTCAGGGTCTGCTTGAATATTTTCTTCTCCTGTTGTCTACACTTTAAAATATTTGACACAGAAGTTGGTCCTATGATAGACAGCCTGGGAAGATTTTATTGTGAATGAGAGAGTATTATGTAGGCCATAACAGAAAATATATTTTTCCTTGTTTTCTGTAAGTGAAAAGGCCCCATGTTTTCTTGTCCAAATGCCATTTGTCATATAAGGCAAAGTAATGAGTCTAAACGGAACAATTTCATTTAAAAAATCCTGAGAATGCAATGTGCCAATATGGCAATGACTATTTCCCTGATGCACAACTCTTACAGTTTCAACTTGAGGTGTTTCTGCTTTCCAAGGAGCTTTTACTTCCTCAACACAAAAGCCTGTGATTCTTCATCATCCACTTTCCCAAACAGTGAGGGATTTTAACTCCATATGTTAACTTCCACTTATTAAAGACACAGACATCTTCTTTCAACCTCCTGTATGAAAAAAACCCTCCAACCATCTTCACTGGACACAGTGTTTACTGGTTTAATTCCCTATCTCACTTCCACAAGAAGAAAATACAATGAAAAGCAGGTCTGCCTGTAGGACTGTGGAGGAAGGGAAGCATGCAGCAGCACTGCACTGAATGTAAGGAAGCATAGGACAGCCATTTCTAAGCCTAACCAGCTGGATTGCCACACCCACCAGCAACTCACTGGTACTTAATGGATTCATCAGCCATGTATGTCACAGCAGAGATTACTAGGAGCTGTTCAGCAGTACAAAGGCAGAAAGATGGAGAATAGCCAGGTATTTATCAACAATCCAGCATCTATCCCTTTAAAAAATTCCAAATCTGTAGCTTGTATATAAATGTGACACCTCATTAATTGCATCTTAAGAGCCAATATGTGTAGATCTCTACAGCATCCAGGCTGGCTCTGCACTTCAGTACTCAGTTCTGGAGTAGCAGCCAGGTGCACTACAAACACAAGCTGGCTGAGGGCGAAGGCAGAACTTAACCTGGGGACTTAATTCTGATAATTTGTACAGGCACAATGTCAGGTGCTAAGTTACTGCAACCAGATATGGCCATGTGAGGCCAGCACAACAAGGTTAAGAACCAGGACTTACCTTCCTGCCCGTCTCAAACTGTGATTTCAACTCTACCATTTCAACTCTGTATGAATTAGCAAGAAGAGAAAAATGCAAGTCAGCTTTGCTGCAAGCCTAGTCCTGAACAACAGAGGGAAAAACAGATTGCTTTCAATGACAGTATGGCAATTAGCCTGATGAAGTTAAATCTTTACTTTAATTGGTTGCCCAACATACATGTTTTAACATTCTGTACTAAATTAGCCAGCATGCACACAGTAATTGGACCAGTCAGTGACTTTCTCCTTTCACTATATACATACACAAACGGGAACACCACAAGATTGGACAAAGGAAAGCAATTTGTTAACCGGATACAGCTAGCAAGTAACATTTTTTCCTCTAGAAATGTTTTTTCCTGCAAAATCACAAGTGTGAAGACTTTCTTTCAAGGCTTGAAGAATATTGCAGTCTTCCAGTGAAAAGGCTAACAATAGCCACCGTAGCTGAAATGAGATAAAATTTGTTGAAAATCCATTCCAAGCAAGAGTGAAATTGAAAAAAATCACCTGCAATGCAGCATAGGGAAAAGGGACTTAGGAGACAAGCTGAGCAGGTACAAAGATGGGTTTGAACCCAATTCTTAACATCCTCAGCTTAGTGTAAAAGAGGAGGAGGTTCAGAATCAGATCCAACATTTCACATTCACTGGTAGAGTAGTATCTAAAAATTGTTTGCTTACTTTATTTGAAGAACTTAAGTTCTGTGTCAACACAGTCATAGAAAAGATCCACTACTTCAGCTGGATCCAGAATTTCTGTACGAGAAAGGATATCTTCCATTGCTTCTAAACCTTGTTTTTCAAGGTCTAACATAATCCTCATCAGTTTCTGGCCTTTATCCTAAAGGCATGAAACAACTAAACTCAGTTAACCAGCAAAGGGGCTCATTAAGGCATTTTACTGTTTCTCTTTTTTACAGAGTTATTTTCAAATATTTTTTAAAATGAAAAAGCCTTTTTAAGTACTAACTATTTCTGTTATTGTTTTGGATGGCCAAAGGCTAAAAGGAACAGTCCTGGACACTTTGTGAGTAAAGAAAAAGAACCAAAAAGGACTTGACAAGTTTAAAGCAAAGAAGGAAGAGGGTGAAAGATGGGTAGAGGAAAATTATATAAGGCTTGTACATATAATAGAGGTAAAGCAAGTTCTTAAGTTTGTAATCCCACTAACAGAACTACATGAGAAGACTAGAAACCCTAAGAATTGTACATGTTGTGGTATTTGCATGTATATCCCTCAAATCAACACCTGCAAGATGATGAATAGATCTGAAATGATGTGTCATGTAACAGTATTAAGACTCCAGATCCCAGGGAGGTTTTGTGTGGCATTCTGTCTTATTGCTCTTTGTGTTTCTAGAAAATTTACTCCTGGAAATGGTGTGTTTTCATTTTATCCAAATGTTATTTAAACTAGTTTTTTCTTTTTGTAATTGAGAAGTGCTGCTTGTTTTGCTTGCAGCTTTAAAAACTGAGTTTCAGGGGAAAAAATGTAATTTAGAATGAGTTCTGAGTTTTTCAGGATTTTTCTCAGCATTTTGTCCAGAATGAGCAGAGCATCTCATCTCAAGTTTAGGCTCTCAGATGGGCAGTTTTATAGAATGAAGCCTGAGTATAAACTGCATCTCCTGTTCTACCACAACTACTGGTGTCACATTGTGGAGACTTTACCAGGCAAGAGTCCTGAGATGCCTCTTCTAGGTCTTCCCTAAATCAACATCTTGCATAATGATATGAGAGCCAGCTGCACAGTAAAACAATGTTACCAGAGGCCACAGATTTTAAATTACACAATTCCAAGCAATCAAAAATCTAGCCCAAACTGCATTTAAATAATGTTTGTACTAGCAAAGGTTATCACAGCTTCCTTGATCAGTAATGGGTAGGTCTGAATGTTGTAATGGTTGTAGCAAGACTCTGACCCATGCAAACAGACACAGAGGAAAATTGTAGAAAAGCAAGTCCTTTTGAGGAAGTTCAACACAATTATGTGAGGGTCTTCCACAAATTGCCTGAATACCAATAAAAGCCTGACAGGTGTGCTTTGGTGATCTTTCTGTTTCACTTCCTTAAAACCACTTATCCAGTTTACTGCTCTAGTTGTAATTGCAAATGTTGAAAAGTCATTGAACTACCTGCTCAATAACACCAAAAGTTATATCACAGCCATTTGGAAAAGCTATACAGAATAATTCCCTTCCTGACTTTACGTACTCCAAAATTATTTGCGTAAGAGATCCTCAGCACTAAGTTTATACAGTGGAAGGTTTTCAGCCCTCAGGTATGTACTGCATGGCCCTGTAAAGTGTCATTTCTTCTCGCATGACTTTTTCAGTTAAATCTTGAAAATTAACAGAAATGCATTGAATTGCAAAACGTGAGGCTCGCAAAACTGTCACGTGCAAATTATGTCTTCAAGAAAAATACCTTTCCAAACTATATAGTTCTTAATCCACATATAATTTAAATTACAACACTCCTGCCCTCATCCTAGCACATAACTCTGATACCATGTTGTACTAGCATCCATTGTTCTAATCACTAAAATGACTATATGTACAGTGGGGATATTGAACAAGATAATCAGCTTAACACTTTGACTTTTCATTTTGTAAAAGTAATGGAACAGAGAAACACTCTCAGGATAACAAAAACTATGCAGAATAATTTGTCCTTCAGAGGGCATCATTATTCAAGCTAAACTCACAAAGATTTTAAGAATATTCAGAGAATGGTTTCCAGTGAGTGACTGTGACCTAAGTTTTGGAGTTAGGAATCTACATTAACTTCAATTTTTTAATTCCAGATCCCACAGCTCTTACCTGATCATTCTCCAGGAGAGATCGAGCCCATTCATGTGCCTTGTACAATTCATGCCTACGATCAGGTTTCTCCTGGAATCGAGGTATCTTTTTAGCAGGATCATCGTTGCCAAAAGAAGGAGACTGTACCTTTGGTACTAATTTTACATCATCGACAAAAATAAAGGGTTTAAATATGGACCTGAAAGAAATGAAGATTACTGCTTGCAGTAATAAGAGAGATCTCATATGTGTTATTGAAATGTTCACCAGGCTATTTTGAAACAACACATACAGAGCAGCGTAGGTAATCCATGTACACTACACATGGATAAGGTTAGAGACTTGGTACTGGTCACAAGCAAAACAAATCTATGTGCTTTAAAAGAACTGGGTTTGGCAATTATTGTAAAACCTTATTACCCCTTTTACCGATAAGATTCTCTGGTGTCCTCACGCCAATTCTGCCACTTCTTTAGAAGAGTGGCACCGATATCCTCCTCCCGAGCTTTTGGTAATAAATCTCAACATTCAGCCTCACATCTGTTTTTCTCCTCTCTTCCCACTGGCTTCCAGATTTAATTTTTTTTTAAATCAGAAAAAACCGCTTGTGTGGAGCAGGGAAGATTACATATCTTGCTCAATATCAGAGGATTTTGCAGGTAAACAGCAGCACTTTAGAATTTTACTTCAAGAGCTGAGGGAAGACATGGCTACCAATATTGTGACATTTCTCAAACAACTTTAACACTGGGCTTGGATCTAAACTCCTAAGAGAGACAAACGAAAAAACCCCATCAATACAGGATCTTCATTCCTGAGAAGATGAAAGTAGGTTTTAGCAAGTGCATGGAACAACTGCATTCCTTCTCTTTAGATACAGAACAAACAAAGCACCCTGCATTCTGCAGTGAAGAACCTGCCAAAAGTGCAAGACTTCTGCAACACACAATTAACAACCGCTGCCTGTGGACAGTCAGCAGGTTCAGTGCTGCTACCCTTCCATCACTGTCACGAAGCCTTGCTGACTAAGAATTTGCGTGACTCACTAGCTGCATTTAAATAATTCTTTCTTAATGCATTACAGTGTAGAATAAAGCAAGAAAGGTCTCTAAACAAGACTTTTAAGCCAGGTTTTCCACCTTCAAAAGGACAGAAATCCCAACAAAATAATTTGAAGCCTTGCTCCTTTTTATAGCAAAATATTTGCATCAAGTCAAAGGAAAGTCTAGGTAAGCAAGTTTAAAATTGACATTTAACCCTGAAAATCTGAGTTGCATAATGCCAAGTGGGTGGAAACTCCCTTTGGCATGGATGACTTCCACAGCCCTCAGTAAAACCTAATGATTACTTCTGATCTTTCTACATTAATGACTGTAGCTGTTCAAGGGCATCATTTTTTTCTCCCTGAAACCTCTTTACCTCAATGCAGGTGTCTGATCTCCTGAATAACTGCAACTGGTTTAGTTTAATTTCTGTGAATCCCAGGTGGATTCTGTTTAAAACACAAGATGATTCAATGGTTCTTTGATGATCTGGCCCATGAGTTCCCTAATCTCCTCAGCTACATTCAGCTAGAGAGGACACCATGTAAACCAACTGGAAATGGTTCCTCCAATAAAAAGCATGCTTGGGACCCCAGCAACCCGCAGATGTTTTGCTGCATTAATGTTTTTATGTCATGTGAAGCTACCTAGAGCACACAACCCCTCTTTTACAGGGAAAACATTTCATTTGTTTGAGTTTTGCACCCACCTGTTCAAGAGAAGTGACTGGGAAGTCCCCAACTTCATCATCTCAACAACTTTCCAACTTGAAAGCAACTACACTGGAATTCCTGGCTCCTCCCTAAACTGCATTTCCCCTAGAAGCTCAGGACTGTCAGATTGCACATCATGGAGCACTGACTGCTTTTCTGGTTAGAACATGCTCTTAAAGTATGTTCCAGTTTGGGTGGCAGGGTTTCTTTATCACCTTTCAACCCATCACCTGCTCTGCACCCCAGGGACCCCAGTGCTGTGGCTTACCTTGAAGGGTCTGGCGTGCCAGTGAAGTAATGAATACAGGGAAAACTAGGGTCCTGAGGCAGAACAGACACTATGCTAGCTGTAGTAAGGAAAGATTCAGAGTCCACACAGACACCACTGTCCTTGTCACGCAGGACATCAATCATAGCTTGTGCAGAAACGTCACCTATATGGAGGGGGGGAAAAAATTCCTGAGTGTTCAATGGCTTGGAGCCCAGGTAAGGATTTTAGCCTGAACAAGCTTTGGCCTAAAATGGTCACTGACACTTAACATGGGCATGTCACAAATCCCAGTTAATACTTTCTATTTAAACAGTGAACATTCAGAAAGAATGAGCCTAGCTAGTAAATTAGAATGGTAAGAAGCATTAATTAGGCATGGCAATTGCCAGGTAGGGAGAAATGCTATTTAAAAGCTCTTTTTCCAGGAATAAGGCTGTAATACTGCTTTAGCAGTCACTAGGAACAGACTAGTTACATAAAACATCCATTTTCCTCTACCCAAGCAGGGCAGAATGAGAGCACCCTGATCTTCCACTTCTCAATTTCAATTCTCTCTCAGTCAAAATTTTGAAACATCATCTCACACTCACAGAATGTTACAGCAGCAGACCTAGACACCAAGACTTTTCTCCAAAACCCTGTCTACAAGAATCCTCTGTTCTCACCATGTTTCCTGTCTGTTCATCCCAGCTTTCCCTCCATGGCCCCTCCCATGTTTTCTCACATGCTCCTTTGGCAGGTCAGGCTTCTTCCCCTGTACTTTCTCAGATTCTGCAGCGGCTCAAACCTCCATGCAGAGGTGCCTCAACACACCAGGAGACAAGGAATGACTCAGCAGCCTGCAAGATTTTCAGCCACAGCCATCTGTCTGTAGGGGCCCTCAGGGTTTTTAGTGCCATAATCCAGATTTATTATGATCTTTTACCTACAGTCCTTCAGAGTTACTGTATCTGCCTCAGACACAAACCATGCTCCCTGCAATTTTCCAAGAGAATGAACTCTGCAGTGCAACAAATATCTCACCTCTACATTCTTCAGAACATTTACCAATATGTGAATATGCCAACAGTCTAGTAAATTCACATCTGTAGTAAAGGGCTTTTTAGAAAATGGCAATTTGTGCTATTTTTCATGCATGAAAGAGCAGATATATGTCAGGCATGCACTGCTGCAGGCTGGCCATTTCAGAGGTATTTTGGCCAGCTGCAGTGAACTGAAGTCAGTAATAAATTTGGGTCTGGAAATAAACCCTTCCTTTGATTGCAGAGAATAGGCACAATATCTGCTCCAGCAGCTTTGTTCTGCTCAACAAAGAAAAAGGGACTTCAGTTTGCAACTGCTCTTCCTTAAACTATGCTCTTGAAACTTTCCCCAAAAGGTTAAATCTACATTCTTCCCAAAATGCAGATTCCACTGAGTTCAATCTTTGATATGTGAGGCCATTTTTTTTAATAATATCATTTTAGTATTAGGTAGGGCCACTAAAATTACAGGAAAGCACAAGTGCAGTGGCACATCATGCACATCAGAACACTGAAGGAAGTTACTTTGTAGTTGCAATCCTGTTTTGAAACCTTTAGGGTGACATTAAGGGCTTCATCCTAAATTGTGGCAAGTTTAGGGACAGTCTTTAGTTCTGATCTTCCTTCCTACAGTTTCTGTGTTCTCAACCACATGTAGTTCTGGACAGAATGCCTGAAAAGGAGGCAGCAGTGACTAAAAAACCCAGTGTGCCCACAGAAGGATAGTTCAACACTTACCACCTTGCTTTTCTAGGCTCTCCCTGCCAGAACAGCAGGCTAAATGGTCATCAGCAAGAGAAAACACTTCAGAAAAATTGAAGTCTGAGTCTCCATTCCACCAGCCTTGACTTTTCACGTAATTCCTTAGTTCAGGATGCTCAGCATCAATTTTTGTAGTTAATGAAAGCTGATTGCAAATGCATTTCACTCCCTCTAGAAAGAGACACACATTAAAAGAGAGCATTAACACAGTTTTTCTGGGAGAAGATGGGAGGAAAATGTCATATCAATTAGGAAACAAATGAAACCATTGGTTAGTATGTACCTTTGGCATGACTGTGTAACTATATAATTACATATAAACAGAATTACCAATCACTGCAGGTTGCAGAGCTCAATCCTCTGTGCCCTACTGAGACACTGACACTTGTGATTAATAGTGGCATTTAGACAGAATGCCAATTTCACCTCACAAGTTCTGACCACAAAGCAGTAGTGGTATCCAAATGCCAAAGGCACGTGCCTAATCTTTTTTTCCAATGCCATATTCCACAGACACAAAAAGGCTTGAGATCTGACTTGATTTCAATATATATTTCAGCAGAGAGCTGCATTTAATGAACTTGCCTTGCCCTTGAAAATTAAAAATTTGGAAAATATTTTTAAAATCTTAACAACTGCTTTAAGCTTCCCAGTTGAGAAACAGTTTCACTGTAAGCTTCAAGATAGGTTTAAATTTTTTTATCCTAAATTTTAAAATGACATGAAGTAAAAAGAATGTGTAAGTAGCCTCCAAAGAATACTAAAGGGTTTTTAAAGTTCCTTTTATCAAAAATACTGCAGTGCTTATAACCATATATCCACAGCATGGCAGTGGTTGCTGCAGATATTCCTCAGAGAGAATAAAGCAAATGTATTGGAAGCCAGAGAAAGAGCTGATAAAGTAAAACTATAAACTAAAATAAACACAGATTCAGGAATTTGGCACAAATCATTTCCTAGACAGAAGCAAAACCAGTAGTTGTGGAAGTTTTTAATACTGCCTTCCAAAAAAGTAGGCTTGCTTTTGTAATGCCTCATGCATGCAATTTAAATAATGGGTAACAACTTCAGGAAATTCTGTGCATCATTCTGCAAAAAAAGTCCCTGTCATCCAATTGACTTACTCTAAGGTCCCTGACAGTTTATTCTGATTCACATTTTCAAAACACATTCTTTTCAGAGAATTTTCTTGACTTGAGTGATGATACATATTTGTATTCGTGTGCAGCTAGGCAAGCCACTCTTTAAGAGCTCTTTAAATATTACAGTTATTAACTCATGCAAAATAATATTTCATGGGTTTGATCCACCACAAAAAAAAAATTATCAATCAAATAAATTTTTCCACTGAGACTTAGGAACATTAATAGAAAGAATTTTGAAGTGCTTATTCTTAAATTATTGCCAGAGAGTTGCTTGACAAACACTCACTATAAGCTTTACAGTCCTGAAGCAGTAATATCAGAACACTGACGATAGTTGGGAAAAATATGCCTTCACACTGGGGAATGACACATTTTCCCCATTTTAACAGCATTTGTGCATTCATTTGAAAGCTTAAGAGGTACACTTATGGTTGCAAAAAAGAATCCCCTGAACAGAGTGTGAAATATAGAGTTCTTACATAGCCAGCAGCCTTTCCTCCTGGCATGCTGCAGGAGATGGAAACTACTTATCTGCAGCTCACAGGGACCTCCTGAAGAGCAATGTGCTGGTAAAAACCAGAACAGAGCTGCAGAATCATTTCAAAAAGCTGCAAGCAGCAGATGAAGGCAACAGTTTATTTGCTGGGAAGAAGGACATGAAGGTTATGTGCTGCTGATGCAGCTAAAACTGATAAATAAAACCCACTGTTCTTCAAATATCAGTCAGGCAGGTCAAGAGAAGAAGGCAGGCTGTCACTGCATAATCCCAGGAACCTCAGGAGTCAGCTGCTTTCCAGAACTGGGGTTTTATCAGGACAGCATTTTCAGCCTTCTCTCCTCTATGTTTGGTATCTGTTTGTGCCAGATAACCTGCAGGTATCCCTAAAATACAAGCTTTACTTGGGAAATCACCCCCTCTGTGAAGGTAACTGATTCCTATTTGGTGGCAGGGGCTGACAGCAGGCCATCACACAGCATTGCACAGCCTGGTGTTATTGCTGTGCTCCTTCCCATCTCTGCTATCTCCTACCTTTCATTTAAGGGGAAATGAGGAGAGAGTTGAATGGATCTCTCATAGCTCAAGTCACGGATGACAAAAGTCCTCTTGAATACTCTGAATTTTCACTTCATTCAAATATGAGTACGTTTTGAAAAGCTCTACTCTTATGAAAATAAAAATCCCTTCAAAATCAAGATGAGAATAAGTTAAATACAGGCCTTTAACAATCATATTACATTAAGGCAGCCCATACATGCTAGAAAAGTTTTAAATAAATTCATCCACTAAGCCAGTGAATTCTAGAAGTTAGTTTGGCAACTCTGGCTTCACACATACAGAAAAATAAATAATTTACAAGTTTAAAGAGCAGAAAATTATTGTTTTGCACTATCTTTTAGAAAACAGGAATATGAAGGGAGGGTATCTATTTCAGTAAAGGAACTACCACCAGCAACCCATTCAATTTATCACCTGAAAAAAAGCACTTTTGTCAAAACCATCAATGCTTACCCTTTCCTCACGATATTTTAGATTTGTAAGTAATAATTTAGGCATTAACTCCATGAAAAAAAAATCTGACATGTTCCAAACAGAAAATAAATCTGGGAAAATACACCTATCAAATATAAAAGTTATGATTATTACATAGTTTATGCATAAAGGCAACCACCTCCACAGAAAGTGCTAAGTCACATCAGCCAATGCAAATCAACACACTAAAAAAGTCAGAGCAGTACAAATATAGAAAACTAAAAATGGTGATTTAATCAAACACTTGCATTCATTAGTCACTTATTTAAACTTAATTACTTTAAGGCCAATTCTTCAAAGACAACTCTTTACAGCTGTTTTTAATAGGATTTGCTGTGAGCTCTAAACTAACCTGTGATTTTTTCAGCTGCCCAATACTTTCCAGAAGTCTCCAGTATCCAGGCTTCATTTCTGTCCACAATCAAAAATGCACTTTGGAAAGTATGGCACGAACTCCCATCTTCATAATAATTTCCACCTTGTCCATGCTCTTCCAACAGAGCAACTATTACATCCAAAGCTTCTTTAGCTGTTGCACCTCTTTCTAGGCCAAGTCTATAAGAAAAGGGTAAAACAGAGATTCAGAGAGGAATGAAACTGTGAGATCTCCTTAAGTTATTAAACATCAACATTCATCTGGGTTTAAAATATTGAAGTGTCTGGTATGCCTAGTATAAGAATTCTTGCTTTAATTAGTAACTAGAATTAAAGGATAGGATATTGAATTATTTGTTTCTTGTCTTGATTTTCTACACTGGCTCTTTACCCTCAAGCCTATCATAGCTGGCTTTTAGTTTTTTTAAAAAGAGTCCAATTACCAACCAGTGATCTCAGCTGCACTGTAAACATGCCATGCTCTATCTCCTCCTCAGGCAGAATACATTTGAAGGACAATTTGCAAGTTTTTTTTTTTCTTTTTAAGTAACAGCTGTACCAAGTTTACTTTTCTGTACAAGGGTGGGAAATTATAAATTAATATGACCAGCTATCAAAAAGGAGAGAAGTATTCAATATTATAACCTCTCTACAACCTCTCTTTCCCAATGCTCTGGCTGGCCATGGAAACTAGGTGTTATCCTTATATGCAAACTACATTCTGTAAAGACAAGCATCTGTGCACAGTCATACTTCAGAGCTCCTGTAGAGGCTTCCCCAAAAAACTATTTGAATATCAGGTAGGGCTTTTGTCAGAAGTAAGAGCAACTGTGTGTCTGACAGAACAGAATTTTAAAAGGAAGTTCAAGCAAAGCAAGGGTGTTTTATGGAAAAATAAACTGAGGCAAGGTAATAAATTTTACAAAGCCATAGGGAACGACTGTATCCTGCCTTGAATAAGTGGCATTAAATAATCCCTTGATATAATTTACAGCCCTAATTGAATCAACAACAAATGCACTAACCAGAAGTTGAAATCAGACCTGAAAACAATTTCACTGGTTCCAAAATCCAATTACTGGTAATGAGAAAATGCAGTGTTTCAAACAACAGCATATCTATGCCTCTGTCCTTTGGGAAAATTACTGTATCAGTCCAAAATTTCTCTCAGATCTTTTGTCAGCTTAATATTTTCCTCTGTGTTTGTCTTTTCTCTAACTGCTCTATGGACAAAATAATTTTGACTGATGGATAGCTCCAAGAAAATAACTTTTTTAGGTATGAGTACTATCTATGCTAGCTCTCTCCATCTCTCTTGAAATCACATGACAAGAATACATTACTCTGTTTCTTTCCTAAAAACTACAGTAGACAAAGCTGGTCCTGATAATTTGAATACAGATTTGTTGATCTCAGTACTTCTCAACCTGATCTCTGCACTGGCTCTGCTTTGTTAAATACTTGGCTACCATTAGCCTTGTTTTAGGCTGAATTTTTGAAAGCAGTGTTTTCATCTCTCTCACCAGCATCGATTTATCACTTACTGACAAAGAAGAGCCAAGAATGTCAAGGCTTAACTTAAAGTGACAGTTCCTCCACCATCATCTTACTTTGCATTTATAGGATCTTTCCTCTCGTCTTTTCTTGTTAGCTGAAACTTGTTTTGTACTGGTGACCCCATTTTTAGTCCCTCTGCATTTATGCTTTTCCTTCATTCTTTTCATCACTAGTGCAATTGCTTTTTCAGACCAATACAGCTATGCCAGTCTTTGCACATACCATAGACATAATTCAAAAGCCAGTCCAAAGCATGTCTTATTTATTCCCTAAGAGCAGTCCCTGCCACAGGTGGGGGAATGGACTGAAAATTACCTTGGTGATCATACAGTCACTAGATTCAGTGATAATCTGCTCCCTTCTCCCAGTTAATGACCAAAACCATTAGGTTATAATTAGATCTAACCTGCCAAGAGACATAACATCCCACTAAAACTTTAATAATGTCTCCATGAAATTTTCCATTTGAGGCAGTTACAGTCTAGCTTTCACTGTCAAAACTGCAGCAGGGATTCAGGCTGAAGAAGTATCCTTTAGGTATTGTACTTTTATAAATGGCTCCAATGTTATATTTATCTCCATTAAGTAAAGGTCTAGGCTCTGCTTTTGTTTGGCTGCTCCTATCTGTCAGTCACAAGGGACAGAAAAAAAAAACCAAGAAAACCACCAAACCAAAACCCAAGGGAAAAAACCCCATCCTACAAAACGACCACACAACTCATTTCCACAAAATTAAGTCTTGTCAGTTATCTCAGCATCAGTGTCCTGGGCAACCACAGCATAACTCTCTCACTAACAGACTTCAGAATACTCTTCAAGGTGAGCTGGAAGAACAGTTAGAAGCAATTTCAACCCCAGATGAGAGCTTGAATTAGTTATTAATAACATTTCAGTGATTTAGTACAATTCACTGCCTAAGTACCTCCAATATGCTATCATACTGTCAAAACAATATTATCTTAAGCTTTTCAGCTTCACCTATCAGTTACATAATGCAGGCTTTCCAAATTAACATACTTGATGACATTCTATTTTATTCCATTTTGAGGTCTCTAAGGAAAGAAATTGGTAAACAAATTAATACCATTTTAAAGAGCATTCTTGACTCCCTGCCAAGATTGGCATCTCTGTGTGGCTCTGAAAAACTTATTGCACCTGGGATGAAAAGAACAAATAAGTAATACAAACACATAGGGATTAAAACTAAGGCAAAAATAAGGGTGTAATTCACAGGTTTCTCCATATTTACCTTTTGTATGATAGTGCTGTCCTAACTTATCAGCAAAACAATACATGAACTCTTCAGAAGAATATGCTTCCCTAATTGAACTAGTGCTTTATAGTTGCAAATGTGCATCAAAAAAAACAGAAACCCAAACTGCAGGCAGCTAGGAAGAATACCTGAAGAAAATCCTGACAAGCTAACTAATGCAGCAATACTGGTAAAGCTTTCAAAAATCAGCTTTTGAATAAACACCTAGAGAAAAAAAAAAAAGATTCCTTAGGAATTTGTGCTGGAGCATATTTTTTCTCAGTTTTTCTATATGTTGTGACTAGGTCTGTGTTCTCCATTTAGATTAACTGGGATGGGGACCAGCCTGCATGGAATAGGATCAACTTCTAACCCTGAAGTCCATCACACAAACTTTATTAATTTCTTAAGAATCATTCAGGCGTTCTGACATGCTGTGGTACTCCATCAAAGAGGCAGAGCTGGTGCCAGCTGCTTCACTGCAGCCTAGAGAGATGGATTTTGTACTAGATGGCTCTCTCATGTCTATGAGGGACATGAAATAGACACAATTCAACTGGCCAAGTCTTCACAATAAGAGAAAGAATCACTTAGGCTGGAACAAGCAGCAGATGGTAACAACACATCTCTGGATCTCCTTGCCTGAAGCACCTCTCTCTGCATCTGAGCTGCAATTTCTTCTGCAGGTGAGAAGGAAGAGAGGGAGGGTAGCATCTACAGGTGATGATCACTTGTAGTTTATGGCTACTGCCTCCTTACTTTGCTATATCCTGATTTGCTAGTGTGGGTAAATCTAGAGCTGTTGGATAACAAATACATTTGAAAGGTAAACAGTCCTTTGAGACTGCAATAACTGAGTAAGAAATAAGTAGAACTTGACATTTAAACCAGTGGTTTGTTAAAGTTTCAAAAGGACTGAAGTAGGACAGAAAAAGTAAAAAGGGAGCTTAGAAAGTCATCTAAGTCCTTTTCTTCACAAAAGGTTGTCCTATACTTTCTTAAACAACCCCTCACATCTACTCAGCCTGCCTTGATGCAATTAAATTTTCTAGTTCCCTCAGGTACAGCTTCTCCACAGATTCCTTCAGTATATACAGGGCTTAGATAAAATACCAAAGAGAAATATAACCCAAATTCCCTCATGATTTTCTCATTGGTCAGATTCTATAGCTCTCTGATCACATTTCCAATTTCCACCACATTCTCTCCAACTGGCCCATATTCCTCTTGATTTATGGTAGCTGGAAGCAGATGCTGTATTTCTGCAGAGACATGTTAGAGAATATTTACAGTTACAGGCAGCTATGCACCTAACAACAACAGCTTCTAGCTCATGCTTCCTAGCTTGTTCATGAAAATAACTTCTAAGGTTTTAACATCCTCTTAAAAGTCAAGGTATCTATTTCCTATCCTTTTAGCTATAAAATGTGTTAACTCATTGCAGGAGTAAAGCAGAATGGTTTGACGGGATTTTTCTTGACTACCAGTTATTACTGTTCATTTATAAACTCCTTGATATTTGAGGTTTTTTCCCTTCAGGAGCTGAGGTTAAGGTGGTTTATAACAACTCTTTTTAACTGTATTAAGCATAGCCACAACAATTAACTTTTTCCAGTCATTCAAAACCTCTCCCATTTTTCACTAGTCCTCAAGAAAAATGAGAATTCACCTGTAATTGCTTCAGTCAGCTCGTTAAGTATCCCAGGGCAAAGTCTAGTAGGACTATTTTGCCTAAGACTGATTTACTTAAATATGCAGCTGCTGTCTTCTTCAGTCTTTAAATTGAGTCCATTTGCTTCATTTCTCTTTGTAATAAGTTTGCACGTCCTCTCTTCTTTCATTTTCAGCTTTCATCCCCCACCCAAGCCTCCTTTAAATTCTCTTCACTACAAGACCAGCATGCAGGCTGAGACTTAGAGAGCAGCACAAGCCTTTTGGGCAGACAGCCGTCATGAACAGACTCACAGGAGCTGGTGTGCCAGCATTTGGATAAGGGCAATGGTTTGCATTGGAATGCATGGGCTGAAGTAAGGCATAGTAGTTTGTTTATGCCTACAGTTGGCTATAAGCCCAGAAAAAGCTTTTTAGGTCAGACTAGGCTGTTGTAAAGTGGGGGAGAATGAAGGGCACACCAGAAATCTGATATTACAAATTAGTTAGCAGCTCCTTACTAACGATGTAATCACATCTCTTACCCTGTCAGAATAGCCACTGCTGGACTGTAGGGTGGGTGGACAAGGTAGATTGAGTGAACCCACAACAAATTGGTACATTCTTGGTAGCTAAATTCAGAGTGTAAGTGTTTTAACCCTCACTCAGCTGTATCTGGAGCCTTACCTAGCCTGCTTATATAGTTTTGAAATCTCCTTATGCCACCACCACAAAGCTGTTACCTGGGACCAGCATCATCTAAGGCTGATGATGAAAGGCTGGTCAGAGCTCAGCAGGACACCCACCTGACAAGATCCATGCCAAGCAAGGCTTCAGACTCAGAAGCTGGTTCTCTGGTCACAACAGCTTCGTTAGCTACACACACTCCATGCTCATTAGCTCCCATTTCTGCCCCCCAAAGCCAGGAGGGTCTGCTCAGCACCACAGCGTGAGTCTTTGGCACCTGCTCAATCTCGATGTACGTGCACTGCAGAGACAGCAGGAAGGGAGAGAGTTAAACAATCACTTCATCTGTTGCTGTGACTCAAGTAACACAAGACTTCAATGTTCAGAAAGAACACATGTTATTTAAAAGGTCCGTGTTTTGTGAATGAACAAGGAACTTTTTTTAAGCAACATTAAAGGGTCACGTTTGAACCTTCACATCCTTTTATTGCATAAGCCTGGGAAAATACATGTGCTGATGCTTGCAGGCTTCCAAGAGACAACAGGAAAAAGGCAGGACCCAAATGCTAGAATCAGTGGAAAGCAGCAGGAGACAGACTGCACTGTTATATTCTATTATGTATAATAATATGTATGTATATGTATATATGTATACTTATATATGTATGTATATACGTATATGTATACAGGTGTATATATAGATATATGTATTATAATAATAATATGTATATATGTTATGTTATATTACATTATGTTGTGTTGTACTGTACATAGTAACAACATCAAACCATTCTACCACCTCCAGTACTTTATTACATATATTACATATATAGTGTAACAGTGGTAACTGGGACAAAATACATTAGAAAGCTTCCTCCTCTCCCTTGCTGCCTCCCCTGCAGCTGCCCCCAGCACCGAGACAACTGGCAGAAAGAGGAGAAAAAAAAGCCTTGAAAAGATTGTTATAGCAAACCACTTTGATAAACAGTCACAGAAATAAAACATGGGTATGGCTGTGTCTTAAACTGCTGTTTTCACTATTTCAAATGGTCTACTTTAATTAGATGTCTGCCAGTGTACTCTGACAAGTCAAAAATACTAAGGAAGGCTGGAGAGAAGTCATTGTAACTGCAAGGAAGAAAGAAATTATGTTATCTTTCAAATACATTTACTTGCCTTCAAAACAAGCACTGTTTTCCCAGGCAGCATGGATAAGGGCTCAATGCATCATTGGTTTGTGCAAACCAAAGAAATGGAGTTTACATTTTTAGTTCACATCAAGTTTTTCACGGATGAAACTCAGCGGAATTTGCTTTTGAGAAACCTAAAGTTGTCTGTATTTATGACAGGTCCAGCATTCCTGTTTAACATCTTCCTTACAGGAAGTAATCTGCAAGAGTTTTTTGGAGGAATATCTGACCAGGTATATCAAAGTAAACAGGATCATCAGAATGGACATGTGGACTAAAAGTTATTTGCCTTGTTTGCCTGGCTGTGTATATATTAAAATGTAAAGCCAAAGAAATGAGTCCAAAATTATGAAAGTATCAAGAAGCTTTGTTTTTTTCCTGGCCTTTCTTTCTGCCTTTAAAGATTATACAGCATGATCATCTTCAGCCTCCAGTCTTGAGCAAACATTTTTACAGTAATAATTCCTCTAGCATGTTAATTAAAACATGTAATAGACTATCTTTGGTCAGAAATGGGATTTTCAAAGTCCTTCAATTTGACCATTCAAGAGGGATACAAGAAATAAGCTTGCCACCTTCATTAGGTAATGTGTGCAAATAGGTCAAAACTAAACAAAACAAAAAACAAAACACCACAAAGCAGAGGGGCAGTGAATACTTTCAGTCTAAGGATAGGCTTAGGTAAGAAGATCCTAGCAGGTACAAATACCTGCTGTATTTGTAGGAGAACATCCCTAATTTGACCAGGCTGTTTGACCATATTGCTTATATAGTAATACACTGTGATTTTGTAGAGGCAAATTCCTCATCTATCAAGGTGCAACATTTGGCACTGGCCAGGAGCTAAGATCTGACTTATAAAAGCTCTTTATAAAGTTCACCCTTTGCTTCATTGCATAACCAAGCCATGCTGTAACTGACATTTCTTATCAAAATTCCCCCTTCTCCTTTTGAGCTGTCAGCAAACAAATCTCATTTTTGACATTCTGCACAATCTCATTTCAGAGATCCAGGTCAGTGCTGTTTGGGTAAGCATGTGTGTGAACAGAGAACATCTGTATTTGCTGGATGTGCAAAGGGGCAGCTGGAGCAGCAAGGGAAGATTGTATGTGAAGACAGCACCAGAGCAGCTACCAGACCCCAGGTCTGCAGCCTCAGCCCCCTTCATCTCATCTCTGCTGGCTGCAGCCACCCTGCAGAGCCATCCATGAACCTTCTCAATCCTACAGCAAAAAGCAAAAACCTAGACACAGCGTGGAGGAGACTTCAGTACTCCATACACCCACGCTTGCACAGTGTTTTCTGGCTGAATAGCCCTATTATGCAAGCTTGCTTACACTGACTCTTTGATTTTTTAGAAGGAAAAATGGTAACACTCTGAAAAGTGATAGTTAAGCTAAAAAAATGCTGAATGCCTTTCCTCTGCAAAACATATTTGCAAGGCTATCCTTGCTACCAATCATTTATTGCTTGGCACCTCGTTCCAAAAGCAAACACTACCAAAGCTGCTATTATTGCAAAGATCTTATTGTCAATGGTAGCAGTTGAGAAAAGGGAAAGGGGAAATTATTTGTTCCTGCTTGATGAATCCAGAGCATCCTGAAAAAAATGTGGGATTTTTTTTAACTATGTAATCAGAGGCCAGAAAACATCCATAGGCAACACTATACACCTCAAAATACAGCTGTCACCTTTGATATTGCTTCTTTGTGTCTCCCAACCCAAAATGAAGTGAACATAGAGCATATTTCATGCTATATTCAGTTTCCATACAATAACTCAGGTACATAGATGATATTCAAGCCTTGCTTTATTTATATAGATTGTTTCAGAAGACCTAAATAACAGAAAAACCATTTCAAACTTACAGTCACTGACATGTCTTGTAAAACTACTATTGACTTGATTCTTATTCGTTTGTCATGGTTATTGACACTGCTGAATAAGTCTTGATGACATTTTACCTCCCCATTATAATTATTTACTCCAGTAAACATAAAAGTAGGCACTCAACAGGATTGATATATTAAGGCAGGAGCATGGTTCATATTTATAATAGTAGGTATGAGCTTCTCAAAAAATTAGGGTCCAGAGGTGACAGCAGATTATTAATTTTAAACATAAAGCATTCACTTCATAACTTCACCATCCCCTCCTTAAAATAACATAAGAAAACTCTTTCCCAAGAAACAAGAGGAACTGGGCTATCCACTTGTAGCCAAGACACATCAGTTGTAAAGGTAGGTCAGCTACAGTCAGATACTGAATTTGCAACACAGCAAACCTCTGCTTCTTGTTCCACAGAAACCAGGACATAGCCTTGGAACAGCTAAAGCACAAAAGGAAATAGTGGGGGAAACACAACACTATCCACCAAAGAAACCTCACTGGCCACTTGATCTCTAGGAACAGGAGCTTGGATGATGAGAGGATTTCAAAAGCAGGCAAAAATTCCAACATCCCTGTCCCCTCTCCTGCACCCCACAGACCTGGCAAATCCCTCCAGCACAACAGCAGAGCAGCCTGTTCCAATGAGCACTGTGCCAAACTAGGCAATGAAAAATAAAACAGACATCAGGTACTGCTGTGATTCTGCTTGCCACTAACCCTGTCTTCAAAATCCCTGAAATGTACAGCCTCAGCTGGACTAACATTTATTTTTTTTAGTATGAATGCTAAAAACAGAAGAATACTGACAAATTTGGTGGTAAAGGCTGAGAGTGTGTGGTGTCAGGCTCCATTGATTTTCTAGAATTCAAGCCCTGAAAGTGGCATAGCTGGCACCTTGCCCTGTGACAGTCAATTCACATTAGAAAATATAAAACTAAAGAAGAGAGGCCTCACACACAAGAGATGCAGCCAACAACTTTAAAGAGAGTTGAGCAGGCTGGGAACTAATGATACTTTTTATTTCACTTACAGTATCAAGAAGAGAATCTTATCAAGGGAGTTCTAAGAATAGCACAAGGCACAAATGTATCTACCAGCCTAGCTAGGGCATGCAGATAAGTTGGAGGTATTCCAAAACCAGACACCACAGTCATAAGCACAAGAGATTTCTTCTTTCATTAATGAAAAGAAACCATTGTGCAGTTTCTACTGTACTAAGGCTGCAGAAGCCAAATTCCTAGCACTGTCAGTCAGGTCATTATGAAATATCAATGAAATCACATAGGCTGCAGCTCTATAACAAAGGCAGTAGTCAGGGAATGCTTTCCAAAGAAATTATCTTTGAAAAGGGGCATTAAGATTTCCTATTACAAAAGAGATCCCACCCCAACCTCCTTCCCTGCCATCAGATCCAGGCTCAAACTTGGCATTAACTCTTTGCTTCACTTCTTCAAGCACTGCCATACCATAGCACATATCTGAAAATAGGTAAAATATTTGTATTCTTGCAGCAACTGAGTAAATTGCACCATGGGTGCTTTTTCAACTCCTTCCAAAGGAGGGATGCAAAAACCGTGCTGAGGCAGTCTCACAGCCTGCTGCCTCCCTGGCCATCAAGACATTGAGACTGACAGCCTGGCTGGAAATGTGTAGACAGGTGATTCCACAGGTGACATGGGCTGCCTGGGTTTTCCCATCGTGGTGAAGTGGAAATCTGGATAAACTAGAACAGAGTTGTTCAAGGAAGCCTCTCAGACTATCTAATGCAGATGTGCCTAGCAATGAGCTTTACAGACAATTCTTTTGCTGCTTATTTACAGAAGCAAATTTAGTAGAGCTCAAAGAAGTGGGAATAACCTCTCCTTGGGAAGAAAAACACACAAGCAGTAGTACACAATGCAAAAGTGGTGGTTAGGCAATGCTATTACCACTACAGGAAGCAGAACCAGGTATAGAGTGAAAGACATCTGGATGACTTCACCACACCCATTAAACATGGCCATGACATGTTTACAGCAGCAAAACTTGTGCCACAGTGAAGGGGACAGCCATACACCAGCATAAATCCGGGATAAATCCTGGGTTCCCCTCAAGCAGTCAGCCCCAATTCCAGTGGACACATGGTCAAACCAGAGCAGAGAGCAGAATTCTCTCCAGCAGCAGGATGAATCCTCAGGGAGTCAGCTGTCAGAAACACACTGTGCTACTGCTTGTATCCTCA